ATATATATATTCACATATATATATATATATATATATATATATATATATAAATAATGGAAGCTAGTATCTGTGTATGATAGAGAACATGTGATAATTTGTTTTAGTGAGCCTGAGTTACCTCACTTAGTACAATACTTTCCAGTTTCATCCATTTTCCTTCAAAGTCTATAATTTTATTTTTCTTTATAGGTGAATAAAATTCCATTGTCCAGATGTGACAAACTTTCATTATCCACTCATCAGTAGGTAAATATTGAGGCTGTGTCCATTTCTTTGTTATTATTGTAAATAGAGAACCAATAATAATATCAGTAAGGGCCCATTAAGAGAAACATTTTCCTTCTGGCCAAGAGAATGGAATCTTTGACTTAGCAGGAGATCAAACATTACAGTTGGGCAGTGCAATTCCCTGGCTATAGGACCCCTTAGGAAGGTAGGCTTACCTTAAACCATGCTAAAGAGATAAGAGGAACAGTTAGACTTTTAATGGGATAATGTACTTTTCCTTCCCAGAATTCCAGTTCTCTAGTCTAGTCCCTATTAGCTACCATGAGTTTCTGTTGTGTCTGCCCAACTTTTTTTTTCTTCTTTTTTGTCTTTTACTTTCAGATGCTAGCCACAGATAAAAATGCTTTCTCTCCTACTGTAGGCCTTTTCACTCATCTCTCAATCTCCCACCCTGCCATGAGGCTGCTTGTCCAACAAGTAGCTGACTTCTATGCTGTCTCAAGTCAGGAGACATGCTTCCCCCTTCCTCTTCTCTGTCTCCCTCCTCCAAGCGGCTGTTGGGATTTACAACTTGCCTGCCTTGGAGTTTTTCTTTTAAAATCATTTCAGTCTGTTCTTAAGTTTATTACTGAGACAAAGACTCCCAAGAGAGGACTCTGATTTTCCCAGTTTTGTGTGTGATTTTGGAAAACTCCCCAATATTTCTGGTAACACATGAGTGTGATATATAGACTGAATTCATATCTCTGTGATAGTATGTAGACTCTCTTGGGTATGTGTGCAAGAGGAGTAGAGCTGGCTCATATTGTAGTTCTAGTTTTAGGAATTTTGAGAACACTCCATCTTGATTTCCATAGTAAATTCACCAGCTTACACTCCCACTAACAGTGAATAAACATTCCTCTTGCCTCATAGCCTAACCAGTGGACATGGTAAACAACACATGCATGGACTGATAAACTCTCCACATACTAGCCCAGGGGCAGTTGGAGTGCATCCATGCGTGGTGTAGGTCATGGTAGAAAAACATTGGCCTCAGTAGCAAACAAAAAAACAAACATTTCGGAAAGCAGAACAGAAGGAGACTCTAGAGTCTGCTCCAGGGGGCTTGACTTCAGTGAAGGATTCCCTCCTTCCAGGATGAGTATAACTACTGGGGGCTGGAACCACAGTTCAAAACAGAGAAAGCCTCAGAATATTTGTACTGTGCTTTTAATAGCAGTACATTTTAAGGAGAAGTAGAGGGGACACACACACAGAGACAGAGACAGAGACAGAGACAGAGACAGAGAGTGAAAGAGAGACAGAGACAGGAAACAGACAGAGAAAGACAGAGGGGGAAAACACCACAGGGTAGGCACTGGTTATTGCAGGGAATGGGATAGTGCTAAGAAATGCTACAGAGGACTGACAAAAATCCATTTCAGTAAGAGTCTTGTTGAGTTGGAAGTTAGGTCATTCCAGAGGCAAACATCCCTCGCTGCACAGCTTATCCTGGGAGTTCAGAGGAAGTGCATGGAAGTGTATTCTATCATCTGACCTACAGAATATTTCTAACTGGGGTGGGGGGACTTTGAATCAGAATGCAGCAGTAATGTTCTGTGATATGGATATCTGGTCTGAGCTGTAGTTTGTGATAGACTATAGAGGCCTGGAAGCTGTACCCATGTGAGAGACCTGTAGGAAACAGAAGCTCATAGGGGTGTTAATGTCTAGACAACATAGCAGGCATATTGGTATAGTATGGGCCAACATATGTAGTGCTAGACATTCAGGTGTTACTAAGAAGTAACAAATGGAAGTTAAAAAGTTTCTACAGACCAAAGAACTCAATTAATTCAATGAGCATACAGTTTAAAGAAGGACAGTGGTTGCTAATTATAACTGTGACAGAACACTGATATCTAGAATTTATAAAGAACTAAAAACCCCTACAAATACAGAAAATCTAAAGCCCAATCTAGAAATAGACTAATGAAATGAAACTACTATATTCATGTTTTATCTCATTTCTGGGTCCTAGATATTCTGATATAAGTGAGGGTTTGGGGGAGGAAAAGGAATTGGCAGTAGGGGTAAGGAAAGGGAAATAAAGAGGGCATGGAGGTAGATATGTTCAAAGTGCATGGTAAATTAATGAATAATATTGTCTTTATGAAACCCGGTGTAATGAAGATATGCCTTTAACACAGAATTGACCTAACCAATAGCAGCTATACCAATGCTTAAAAACAACAGCCAGTTGGGTATGACACAAACATCTCAGTTATGTGAAGTATGTATTGTCATCAAGCCTATGAGTAGGTATATAACTAGGAAAAAATACAATGAATATAAAAGATTAACTTAAAAATATATAAACGTATTATTTGGTAGACTAAAATAGATAAAATTCACCTATAGTAATTGTTAGCATAATTTCAATTAACATAATCTCAGATAACAAAATGTTTTCAGTATTAGATTTTTGACTTAAGTATTTGTTTTTAACTGAAATTAACCTCAAATAAAAAGCAATAGATAAATGAAATAAGAATAGCTATGCTAACTCAATAAATTTACTTTCATTCAGAGAGAGAGAGAGGAGAGAACTTACAGGCAGATCCTGTCTTTGCAAAATTCAGTGCAGACAAGTGTCTGTATAGGATCTGTCAAATAAATCTCTACTTAATGCTTAAGTAGGTAAGAAGACTGCATATTTCAGTTGTTCATTCCAAAAGACATTTTATGTACATTAAGAAAATAAATGTCTAAAAATACAGCTCTGTCTAAATTGCATGCCAACATTTAATTTCTTTTAACCCATCTATGTCACCTGATCGACACAAGTCAGGGTTTAGATTTCTGCAAAGAAGAATTAGAAAATCCTTTACCCTAGAGTGACCTGTGTGAAGCCTTTGGAAGCTGTCAACTGAGTACA